GGCCGCGGGGAGTGGAGGCCCTCGGGGGGCTGGGTTAGGGTGAGCAGCGTGCCCTGGGCATGGGGACGCCTGTGCCAGTCCGGGTGGCAGATCTGTGACACCCTGTCTGTCTCCTAGGTGGTGGGACTGGCTTTGTGGGCACGGCCCTGACCCAGCTGCTGCGGAGCCGTGGCCATGAAGTGACCCACGTCTCTCGACAAGCGGGCAAGGATCGGATCAGCTGGGTATGAGAGGAGAGCGATCACAGGAGGGAGGATGTGCCAGGGCTGAGGAACAAGCCCGGTTGCCCTCGCCCGCCGTGGCATACAGGGAATCTGCAGTGGGGAATCTGGCTCCTGTGGATGTACTCTTGGGCCCCTGGGTGCTCCGTGACTATGCCACTGGGATGGGTTCTGCTGTAGCTCCAAGGAGCAAAGCTGTAACCATCATTCAAGCTTGTGCTTCGGGCAGTGTCAGGAAGGAACTGGCTGGAGTTCTTAGGAGTCTGCACTGCTTGGTGGAGGGGAGGCTGGGTATGTGATGTCCCTGTTATCCCTGCCTAGGAACAGCTATCCCAGTCTGGACTGCCCCAGTGCGACGCTGTGGTCAACTTGGCTGGTGAAAATGTCCTCAACCCTTTCCGCAGGTAACTTGATCTCTGCTGCTGTTCCAAGGTGAAGGCAAGACAGGCCAGTGTTGACAGAGAATGTGGAAGGGATCTGGGGAGGCAACAGTGCATCCAGGAAGCGCTTGGGTTACGGAACAGTGACATGTGGGTTCTCAAGTATCCAAAACATTTATGTGGGCCTGTTAAGTTCTGGGAGGCCTTTGGAAGACATGTTGAGGCTTGGCAAATAGTTCTACATATCCAGAGTTACACTGATGCCTACGTTTAGACAATTAAAATCAGAACCAAAGTTTTACTTCTAAGGTGGTGGTTTTAGAACTGCCTTTGCCAGGCACTTGGGAAGAATTCACATCATCCAACTTTGGTGTCCAGCTTCTCTGCTGCCCTTTTCCTAAAGCAGTCCAAAACCCATGGCCTTTTGTGGGAAGTGAGGAGCCACCATCTCCCAAAGTTCCCATGCACTTAGGTAATAAGATTCTGTGTCTTTCACGTGCTCTGGAGCATGGAAAGAGTTCTTGTGACCTCTCCTGTGCTTGTCAACAGGGTCTGGTGGGAGCCCCCTTGGTGATGTTTCCTGGGGTACCCTTGTGGGGATTATAATTGGTGGCTCTCTCTTTCCCAGATGGGGCGATGCCTTCTGCAGGGAGATCATCAGAAGCCGGGTTGAGACCACCAAGACCTTGGCCAAAGCCATTGCTGATGCTGAGCAGCCACCCCATGCTTGGGTTGTCGTCACCGGCGTAGGTATTGGTTGGGCCCAGCCGAGGCATGACTCGAGCTGACCTGAAGATGCAAACCTCCAGACAGAAACACACTTCTGGGGGACACGTGTCTTGCCTTGAAATGCACCTTCATTGCCATCAGTGTCATTGTGTTTAGGGAAGCCTTGATCAGCCTTTTCCTACTGCTGGATAGGAATTCGTGTCCCTATGCTTTCTCTTGCTGTCACCTAAGCAGGGCCTCAGCTGAATCCCCCTGTATATCTCTTTGCATTGCTGCTTGCTACGGTCTCTAAAGCTGCCGCAGTGATGCCCAGTTTTTAGATGCACCTTTTCGATTCAGGTAGCTCAGTGTGTTACTTGCTGATATATTTGGTTCTTGGGGCTGCCAGTGTGACCTAAGCATTGGTGCACCCCTCTGAACTTGCAGAACACATTGGTAGTTCAAAAACTATCTCTGCCATCAGAAAGACCCTGTGCTGTTCATATGGGATGTCTGTGATGTAGTGATCAAGTTCTGGGCTCTTGGAGGCAGGGAAGAGGTTGGGGAAGGGGGGGGGGTGGCTGATTCAATCCTGACCCCCTTACTGCTCTTACACCCACAGGCTATTACCGCCCTAGCCCCACAGCAGAGTATACTGAGGACAGTCCGGGGGGGGATTTTGACTTCTTTTCACGCCTGGTGAGCTCCTGGGAGGCTGCAGCTCTCATCCCTGGGAGCCCAGCTCGTGGTGTTGTGGTGAGATCTGGTGAGATGGAGCATCATGTCTGTTCAGGGTGGCTCTGCTTTGGTGCTGGGGCAAGAGCAGGGGGAAGGTCTTGTGCCTCTCCTTGTTGGGGTGCTGTTCCAGTCCAGCCCTCTAAGGACTATCTCTTGTTTGTAGGTCAGGGGGTGAATGTGAAGGGGGCTTTTGTCCT